ACAGGACTCTCTCATCTTTTTAAGTGGGAGAACTTGCACAATTGGTGGCTGACTAAATACTTTTTTTGCCCCACTGCTGTGTAAGTAGTATGTTTAATAACACGCAGAGCTTGTTTGACACGTTAAGCGCCATGATTTATCTTTACTGCCAGCCTTGAATCACTGAAATTCTCTTGTCTAGTTCCAAACAAAATGCAGGAGTCATAAGTTATAGCAACAGAAGGGGAAGAAGAAAAAAAAAAAAAAAGCTGAGGGCAAGTAATATGTTTTCACATAAAAGCTGGAAAAGCTTGGTGTGCTTCAAATGAAGTGCTCATCAGATCTAATAATGTCTGAAACCCTCTTGTCAGGGCCAGAACTGAAGTCGGTTGCATCTGACAGGTTTTCTTTTAACTTTCTGAAGCCAATAATCCAACAACAATGCCCACTTTAATTGGGGGGTTGGCCAGGCCATGTGTAAAGAGAACTGGATAAAGGGCCTGAATTGGACCCAAAAGTGTGCCAGTACCCTAATTCAGTACAACCCTAACCCTAACACAACATTTTAACAAGTACATTTTCAGTACTGTTTTCTTAGCATTAAGCTAGCTCATTAAGTAATGCACTTGTTCAGGAGTATCTCACCAGCGCTGCTGTATACAGGGTTTTAGGGGGGTTTGGGGCATCAAAGCATCAAAGTAAAGTTATTTTGGTGGGAGGTGGGAGAACTCATTAAAAAGTAAATTAATTCCCATGAAAGCTGCTTAGTGGCAACAGGATTGTATTTGCAGTCCTTGTTTTGCCCTAATCAGCCAATGTTCTGTACGTTGTACTGTACATTGGCTCCACAGACATGAACTGCAGACAGCTAGCAATGTACACACTGATTATTAATTTTCCTACAGACTGCTCTGCTTTTCCCTTGGTCTTTGGACGTTCATAAATTGACATCAGAAATGTTAAGGATGAATGCAAAGTTCATGTGATTGCACCTTTGCCTTTAGTTTGTGCTGCAGAATTTGCAACAATAGGCCTCCACGTATGTCTCCATTACCTTAATATGCAGTCGAGCTGCCTCAAAAATGCCCCATAGGTTCAGTCTGAACCATTGACAGTATAATGGACAGAGCTTCCGGGTCTGTGAAGTAAAGCCAATGCATTCTATGGAATGGCCAGCAGGTGGCAGCTCGATTGGCTGCAATAAAACATTGGCTTGCAGTCTTATGGAGAAATTATCCAACTTTTCACTTGTTTTATTAGTTCAGTAAATAGTTTCTTAATGAGTTTATGGTATCAATCTCTAGTTTCAGTCTTTTTCCATATAGCATGATGTTCCATTAGAAAATGGTGGTCCCATTTAGAGTAAACTAGACAAAAAGCAGGGTATGGTGTGGGCTACTTGTGATTGACAGGTCATTCTCATGAGTCCGTCCAGCTCAACACACCAAACTCAGATCAAACTGTCAAACTAGGCACTACGAATGAGTACAGCCCAACTCGCAGGACGTCATCTCCATTGGCTCCGAGAAACCATCATAGTGACGAACATAATGCCAAACGCTTTAGAACTGTACTCCACAAACCAATGGGTGACGTCACGATAGATTCACACATGGTCTGAACTTTAAAGTCAACACAGTTTGTATCTCTGTCGGAGATGAAGAAGGTATTTTGATTAGCTAGATTTATGTGCATTTCATGGTGAACAGAGAGGCAAAGACACAAAACTTTAAAGTTGCTATTAACAACACATGAAATGCTGTGTACATAGTCATGATTCTCAGCAACAACTTCTATTGTAGAAAAACACACTCTTGGCAGACTGCATCATCTCTAACTCTGAACCTGACCGGGAAACCATGATAGCAGGATGGAGACCAAAAGATAATAATAAAAATAACTTTACTGAACTTTAATTAATCAGAGAAAAAATCGTTTGATGGAAGACACACAAGGCCACATTGCAAAAAAGTTTAACAGTATAACAGAGCATTCTAATTCCACCATCTTAGGAGGTGCTGCCTTAGCAATATTGTTTGGGTATTCTGACACGAAGAATACTTTATATACCACTATTATATTGTATTCCAATAAGGTAAAAACACTGCTGGTGTGTCAGATCAGTCACTAAAAGAAGGGATGTATGTTGAATTATGTAAAACAAGAATCGTTTTTGTGTAAATAATAGCTGATGTTTATCTGTAGGACTTCAACATCTGTTGTATGTTGCTGTATGCATATTGCATCAATATTAAAATCTATTTTTCAAAATAAAGTTAAATGAAAATAAGATATTTATGTGATAGAATTTTGTTTACAGCACGGATTTTGCTCCCGTGGCACATACAGTACAGTGAGGTAAAACTGAATATGAAATTACTATATGTATTACATTTGCATATTCATAGATTCTGTAATTTCTAATGAGGTAGAAGGAGTAGATGACTAAGGATTTGAATGTGGAAATTATACTTTTTTGTTTGTTAAAATATATCAGACAGACATTATATATATACATATTGTTTGAATCACACAATTTGTATACATGTCTTAATACATGTCTGGAGTAGATCTTTAAGCTTCCAGTGACCGTACAAGAATAATAATAATAATAATAATAATGATAATAACATTCTCTAGGGTTTTCACCACACTGCCAAGCCTCAGCTTCACGTTTATTCTTCAGATCAGGATGCTGGTATTTTCTTTTGACAAGCAGGAAATTAAAATAAAAAGACTTGACTTGCTTTTGCAATCACTAGAAAACAAAGAACATTAAAATGAACATCACCTACCTATAATAGTGCGTTTATGTAACATATGCAGTGTCAGGCTGCTGCGTGTTACCAGTTGTTTTAGATGAAGAATAACAATGTGGTTGACAGGCAGGTGTTATGCTGTTAAATGCTTTAACAAACATACTATACTGTATAAGTACACAGAGCTGTTAACTCTGAAGTAACCTTCAAGACAGGGTTCGAAGCACAATCTGAGCTTTGTAACAGTCTCTAAAATAAGTAACGTTAGGGGCGGAGATAAATAAATAAAAGCCTAATGGCACTTTCCATGAGCCCACCACGTACAACACTGATCAAGTACATTGCAACAACCCAAAGCTGCCCTGTGACACTACAACAAAGTTACAATAGTCTGAAATATACCAAAGGGAAGAAAGCAAATCTGACCTTTTAGGTGTTATTATTTTATGTGTTAGCCCAATAGCCTATCATAGTGGTTCCCAACCTGCGGGACCCCCACTAGGGATTTCAAAATTTTCATAGGGGCCTTCTTGATTTTCAAGGAGTGCTAGAAAACTTAAAAAATATACAAAGTAGGCCAATATTTGGTTCACTTGTAAAGAAAAGTAAATTGTCTAATATAACAATGGCCAATAAGAAAACACTGAAATTTATGTAAAAAGAAGCCTAGTAAGTAGGTAGGATTTTTAAAAATGAAAGAATACAGACAGAATTAACAATTCAATTCAATTCAATTATTTATTTTGTATAGCGCCAATTCATAACAGAAGTTAACCAGGACACTTT